GATGTCTAACCTCTCTCCTCCCAGATTGAGTCTTCATGGACCAGCAGAACCCCGACTGCCTGCACGGGGCTCAGGCACATAGCCAGAGGCTATTTCTAAGTCACATTGACATCTCCTGGGAGCTTGTGTACAGGAAGGGACAGAAAGAAGGCCCCACGCCCACTTCCCCTCAGTTAGTCTCTCCAGCTCCATACTCTAGTGAGGAGGGGCTGCTGGGAGCCACTTCTGCCCACCTCTCCTTCTTCCTTCATAACAGAGGGATGCAGGGGACAGAGGTCTCACAGGTGTGCCTTCCCCTCTTTTCTTCCCAATCACAGCCCACCATCCCTGCCGAGGCCTGCATGGGAGAGCTCAGCAAGCCGAGATGGGCTTCTGTAGCAGGAGAGATTGACATTAGACTTCAGGGAGATTTTCCAGCATTTTAAATTGAGTTTGACTGGACTATGTGACCACAGGAGGTGGTTTTCTGAGTGGAGAGGCAACAACTGATCTGGGATGGGTGTGGTTGGGCTGGCAACAGGCCCAGGGGTAGAGAAATGACAAGATGACCTCTCAGAGAGTGCATCTCAGAAACATCAGTCAAAGGTCCCTGAATAATTTTGGTCTTTCCACCTTACCCATTCCTATCCTTTGTCCCTTCCTCCATCTCTGTGCCCATCCCCAACCTCAACCTCCACCCCATCCCTAACCCCTCCGCTCCATCCCTGTCTCCTTTCACAGCCCAACCCTATCTCCATCCCCATCTCCAAGCCCACCCCAGCCCTCTTCCTATCTGACTCCCCATTTCCATCCTCAATTTCACCTCCATGTCCACAACTTCATCCGTCTCTTCTCTCTCTACCTCATCTCCGCAGCTCTACCTCCATCTTCATCCCTAACCCCATCCTCCCATCCCGCACCATCCCCACCTCCCGAGGATGGATCTCTCCATATGTCAGAGATCAGCCTTGGAGCCTAACACCACTCATCATCGTCCCTGCCAGGTCCTAGTATGTCCTCCACATTCTCCCAGTGTTCAGGAAAAGGCCAGAGCCATGCCACTAGCCACAAAATGGATTGAATAGGATCATCCTTAGAGAGGTCCTCAGCTTCCTGATCCTATCTGGGCCTTAAAGGCTGCATGCTGGCAAGACAGTAAAAATGAGTTTAAGAGCAACAAGACAAGTCGAGGTCTGATGTCCAGATAGACCTCTCTACACTGCAGGTGGGGACAGGTGCAGGAGAGATAGAGACACATGCTCAGAGGGCCCGAAAAGGAGGCAGTGGCAACCTTTCTCAGGGGCTTGGGAGCATAAGCAGTGCAATTAGGCATGGCCAGGCCCTAAGCAGAGAGCTGCACAGAAGCTGAAGCAAGGAGGCCTGTGGGTTGTTTAGGAATGACTGCCATTGTGAGCATCCCTGGCTCTCTACCCCGCCTGTGGCTCTTGCTTAGTCAGCTCAGATTAATGGGGCCGAGGAGAGAATTAGCTGAATCGTGATCTCTCAGGGAGCTTGAGTTAAGAGCCAACGGTGAGTCACAGAGAGAAGGGAACCCATGCTCTCACAGCTATTCTGGAAGCTCAAGGGGTGGGAGGTACCCGCAAGACCCCCAAAGGATGCAACAGAAAGCCCACTGGGAGTTCTGACCCTAATCCTCTAACCCATGCTCCTGGGACGATGCATGGTCAGTTAACTTCAAGCCCCCAGTCTGAAACTACCACTTTAGGCAAACTATAGCCATCCCAGACACTAACACACACACACACCCACCCTGAATGGGGCGTGTCCCTGGAACTGGATCGCCCGGAGACAGTTGGAGATCCCACCCACACTTGTAAATTCCACAGCCATGTTCCACACTACACCAGCCCATCAGTCTTGGAAGGCACAGGATGTGCATGAGGGCATACACACATCACCATGATCAGAAAACCCAGTTATCAGAATCTGCCCTTAGCAGTTACCCCCAACAGAGCCAGGGGTGACCACAGCAGTGTTCACTGTCAGAAGCGTCCCCAGCTCCCTCTGGGAGGGATTCCTGGAGCCCATGTTGGGCCCCACAGAGCATGTGGCTTTGGAGAGGAGGCTTGGCCTCTCCGGGCCTTCCCATGAACATGTCCAATCTGCTGGAGGTGGCGAGGGTTTTGGAGAGAAAGTTCTTCGGGTTGACAACAACAAGCCTAGGAGGATCTTGGGGTTGTCAAGGGAGAAAGGTGGGGGCTGGAGCCCAGGAGTTGGATGAGCTCAGGGAAGCACCCCCAGAACATGCCACCTCTCCACATCCTTCTCCTCAGATGGGCGAGGGAATGATTGTACCCTCAGAGGCAGCTTCACCCAGCCCAGGTGCCTGGAGGAAGGGCTGTTGCACAGGCACCTGCAGAGCAGGCAGCAATCCCTTCTGCTGGTGGCGCTTCAGTTTCCCCACCTGTCAAATAGAAAGGGGCTTGAGTGGGAGGCCCTCCCAGTGCTTTTCTCACTCCAAAGTTTGGTAAGTCCAAGCAGTTAACTTACTGTCTGCCTCATATGTGTGCACACATGCACGCTGGACAGTGGGGGTTGGGGAGGAGGTGCTGCATCAGTACTTGTCTTGTACTAGATCTGTATTATTAGCAGTGGTGGCAGAATTAATATCCCTAATAACAGATTGGTAATAATGAGCAGTCCTTCTGATAATGATATGTACAAAGCACGAGAGGCCCCTGGCTCAAGGAATGGTGGGATCCTGAGCCATCTCATGCCCCTACTAAGGTGGGCAGGCAGAGAGAGTCCCACCAGCTGGATGTGAGCACTCCTGACCACCCCCATGGGGAGCACTCTGGGAAGAGCAAACGATTGAAGGGGAAAAGATCTCAGCCCCCATCCCTCTCCTGAGATCCCAGGAGCCTGGGACCCGGGGGAGGAGGCAGGGACAGCAGACAAGATGGTGTTGGTTTATGTTCCTCAGAGCATTTTGACATTCTGGCTCTCACTCAGTCCCCAGGATAGCCAGGTGAGGTACATAGGGCAAAGATGAGGATCCCATTTTATAAAGAAGGGAAGGAGGTTCATCCCCGTGATGAGCACACACTGATGGCAGAGATGGGAGAGGATGTTTCTGGGGTCCTTGGTCAGAATGACTCCCTGTGAGGGAAAAGGGGGGCTTTGTAGGGCAGCTGGGGGCTTCCAAGGTGATAAATGCCCAGCTAGGGGATGAGCTGAAACAAGGTCCCAGTCATCCCTGTTGGTCTCCCAGCTCAAATCCTAGCCATCCGCCACCACAGCCAATCAGCTCAGCAGTCAGTTACCGGTGCAGCCCTCAGGAGGCTGGAGGTGAGACCACCAGGCTCAGCCCTGAGTGACTTCATTATGAGGGTGGGACTTCAGGACCCCAGAGCTAATGGGTTCTCAGAGGCAACCAATTTCGTCCCATCCTCCAGCTGATTTCTCCACCCTCCTTCAGCCAGCAGGGCTGGAGGAAGCCTGTTGTAAGGAAGGATGAAGGTGATATTTCATGATCTGTGAAAAATCCCCCTGTTCCTCCAGTCACTCCCTGGCTCATCATCTACTCTTTTTTTGTGTGTGCTTGTGAGGAAGATTGGCCCTGAGCTAACATCCGTGCCAGTCTTCCTCTATTTTGTATGTGGGATACTCCCACAGCATGGCTTGATGAGCAGTGTGTAGGTCCGTGCCTAGGATCTGAACCCACGAACCCTGGGCCACCCAAGTGGAGCAAGCAAACTTTAACCACTACGTTGCCAGGCCAGCCCTTCATCATCTACTGTTTGGTCCCTTTCACAGCTGGGCGGACTGAAGATTGGAAGAAACATTTTTCTGTAGAAACCAGTGTTTAAGGCCTCAGACCACCGCTTTCTGCATACTCTCCCCTGAAAGGATTAAGCAGACAAGAAGTCCCCATCCCCAAGGAGACCCGCTCTCTGGTCAGGCCCCCAAAGGTTCTAGGTCACCTTGCCCATCTACAAGTCTCTTGCCAGGTCTGTTCTCACCATCAGACCCAGTCATGCCTGTAAAAGTCCCTGGGGAAGGTGGAGGGTGCGGGACACCTTCTCCCTGAACTGCCCATCTAAGGGGCTCATGTTCTTAGAATTGAGAATTTCGCCTCCTCCTCCCCTTGCTAACCTTGGAGGGCAAGCTGACCCTGCTTCTGGGAGCAAGATCTGGAGGTGGGCCCACAGCCCCTGAGCCTGGACTCTGGAGTAGGGAGGAGAGAGGAAAAGACCATGAATGGCACCCGAGAGTAAGAGCAATAAGATCCCTGGGGGCTGGGGGTGTTTAGGTAGGAGGTCTCTAGAAAGGGCCATCTAAGATGTAGAAGAACCCAGCAGAGCCAATCTCTCAGACCAGGTAGCCATAGCAGAGGAGAAAGGGGGTCCTGGTAGGTGTGTCTCCGAAAGGGATGGATGGGAGTTTTGAGGGGTAGCATTACTTGTTTCTTTGAAACCAAGCATCCCTTCCTTCCCTTCTACCAAATAAGCAGCCACAGGAGGTCAAGGACTCCCATCAATCTGTCCCACTGTCTGTTCATCCAACTGTCTGCCCATCTGTTTATTTATCCATCTGTCCACCTTTCCATCCTGTCATTTGTCTCTCTATCAATCTGTCCATGCATTGATTTGTCCATTCCATCCACCCATCTCTCCTCCCACCCACCTACCTATCCATCCATCAGTCCATCCATCCATCCATCCATCCATCCATCTGCCCACCCATTCGTCCATCTATCCACCCATCCATCATCCATCCATCCTGAGAAGTCAGTCCCCAGTTGGTTTCCCCAGGGTGGCTGGGAAGGCCCTGTGGTCCTGTGGCATTTATGGGGCATGTGACCTGCCTGCCTGGCCTGGGGAGGCAGCCCCACCCCAGCCCTCAGGCAGGGGGCCGGTCCAGGCATGTGGGAGTATTTATACCTCGATGGAGGCTCCTGGGAGGTTACTGGGCTGAATGACTCCCTGAAGCCGTGATGGTGGCCATGGCCCAGAATTCACTGTGAGTGCTTGGATTCAGCTCCTTTGGGGCCAGGGCTGGGTGGCAGGGGCTTGGGACGGCTGGAGAGATGGAAAGCTCCCCAGAGGTGGCCAGGGATGGTGGAAAGGAAGGGGTGCTGGGGAAAGGAGAGTGGGAGAACGGGAAGCTGTTGGAGTTAGGCATCCGCAGCCAGACTGGGACCCACCCTGGAGAAAGGATGAGCCCATTGCCATTTCCTAGTCTCCGAAGGGTCCCTTAGTGAATGTCAGGAAGGACAGGGCAAGAGGACTACGATTACAAGAGAGATGAAGATATCTGAAAGAACTTCCGGGTCAGCCCCAGGCATGGAAGGCGGCTCAAGTGTTTTTTCAGCATGGGCATACTGAGCAATGCTCTAGGACCAGCCTACTTCCAGAGGTAGGGGAAGGACTGAAGAGCTTCGGAGAGCCCTGATTTGGGGAATGGGAATGACTCAGCTGCAGGTGTCAGTGGCTCAGATTTGAGGAAAGCATCACATGGGGGACATGATTGTTCTTCATCCTTTGTTCTTCCCCACTCCACCCCCTGCCCCTTCTGTCTGTAGCTGCCTCTCAACACACTTTCATCAGATCTCAAGGCAGGGGCAGTTGACCCATTTCCTGAAACCAAGACAGGGTCAAGAGCCAGAGGGGCCAGAATTTTGGCCTCAGAAGCCCGATCTTGATGGGAAGAGAGGAGCTAGAAACCCCCTCCTTCTTTGCTCCCCCAGACTGCCAGTATCCTGGGGTGCTTAAACCTCAGGAGCTGGCCCCCAGGCCCTTCCCTGCCACCCCCGACTAGGTAATTACCCAGCAGCTCCAGGGGACCCCTCCCAGGAGACAGGCGGGTGGAGCCCCGGGTGGGGCCACAGGCAGCACTGGGCACTGACCCCACCCCTTGTAAAACATGCTGCCGCAGCCAGCAACAGAAACCATTAAGGCGGAACTGCACTGTCTCCACCTCTCTCATAAAGGACAGGTAGCCCGGGCAGGAGGGAGTCTGTATGGAGAACCCAGTGAGGGCTTTTGGTGTCCTCTGTGACTCGGCTGCCCACAGGGGAGGCCGGGACACACCCTTCCAAGGAAACCTCCAACCTTGCCCCCTAGCTGCCACTCTGGCTTCCAGGTATGAGCAAGGAAACTAAGGTGTTCCTGAGGTGGGGCCGTGTAGCATAGTGGTTAAGCACACTGGCTTTGAAGCCTGTGTCTGAATCCTGGGGAGCATAATTTGCTAGCTGAGTGAACTTGGGCAAGTCGGGTTAACCTCTCTGAAGCTCAGTTTCCTCATCTATAAAATGGGGATGATAATACAGCACCTCCCTTATGGAGTTTAATAACTTACCCATCTGTACCTGGTCCCTTTGAGGATTTCCTCAGGGACGTCCCTCTTGAAGGCAGAGCAGGGGTGAGGGCCCTGCCGACAACTCTGTGGACCATATACACATCCACAGGACCAGCTTCAGCATCTTGAGATGCAAATGGTCCCTGTGCCTCCATTTACTTATAAGGAAACTAAGTACAGAAAGGGGAAGTGACTTGTCCAAGGTCATACAACCGGCAAACAGGGTATCCCGTGGACCCCACTCCCTGAGTCACTGAGTCCTGAGGCACTAGGAAAAGGGTCTCTGAGAGGTGGGGAGATGTGCTGAGTAGACGGGGCACAGGGCCCGGTGGTTAATGAGAAGGGCACAGAGCAGGGACTCAGTAGTGGTCGTTGTTGATCCTGTTATGCTTTCTGGGGAATTTCTTACCCATCATGGCCCTTACTCAGTTTAGAGAGCCATTTCTTTCTTCCCTCTGACTCCAGGGAAGATCGAGTCTACTTCCTCCATCCCCACCCCTACCCTCCCACTCCCCAAGGATCACGGAAGAAGTTCTGAGAGCAGAGGGTGGACAGAATGCCCAGATACCGAAATGGTCTTCAGCTAATGTTGTGCCAGGGTTGTACCCCTGGACTGTGTGTGTTTGCGGGTGTGGTTGGGGCTCTTGAGGCCTGAGAATCAAGAGATGCTGTTTTCAGTTTAGCTATGTGGCCCTGGCATGTCACTTCTCTCTGGGCCTCAATTTTCTCCCCTGAAAAATGGGCTTAATGACCTTGACCCCTACCAGTGGTATGCTAATAAACATTCACCAACCAGCTCTCCAAAAACAGAAGAAAAAAATCCCCAAAACTTTGACTTGTAGTATTTGCTAATTTCCGTGGGGAAATACTCCCACCATGGCCAATTTGGGCCAATTTGGGCCAGTTTCACTGAATGTGAAATTAGGAAGAGATGGGCACAACTGGCTCTCATGAGCCCATAGCAGCTGGCTCCAGCAGATCAATACCTGCTACCCTCCGGGGCAAGCAAAGAAATGATGAAATGAGATGATACATACAAAAGTGCTTTGTCAACTGCAGAGTGCTTTATAGATGTAGAGTTGTGATGACAATCATCCTTACAGTCGAAGCTACCCCAGGGCACGATCCACCTTGGAGAGCCCTGGCCCAGCTCCAGCCCAGGAAGGGGGCAGGTTGTGAGCTGAGGGAGCTCACACTAAGTGGCAGGGTCATGAGGGCCACCTGGGGTAGCTCCTGGGATCTGAAAATGGAGGAGAGTTGCTTGGACCTCCTGCACTGGTTTGCTCATATTTGCACACACCTCTCATCATGCTCTCTGAAAGTGAAGCTGGTAGGATAGAGGTTAGACTTCAATGAAAGGTTACTTCTGAATGCAGATGGCTCTGGATGGAGCCATCAGAGAGGCCTCCTGAGGGATCCAGAGCAAGAGTCACCCCGCCCCCTTCCTACTCCCAGAAAAATCTCTGGGAGTTTCTACAGCCACTCTACCACGGAGGAACGGCTGGAATGATCTCTGAGGCCAGAGAGTCAAGAGGAGGGAAGTTTTGCCTCTGCCAATAGGGGAGGAGGATGTCAGGGAGACGGAAGTGGGAGGCAGGAAAGAGGAGTTCCCTCTGCTTTCCTCCCCCACCCCCAGAGCTCATGGTTCAAATTAACTCTGTCCCACTGTTAATTATTAGTAATAGCTATCATTTATTGAGCATATACTATGCATTAAACTATTTACAAGCAATAGTTCATCTAATCCTCCAGAGGGGTATGTATTATTAGCCCTATTTTACAGATGAGGAAACTGAGGCCTAGAGAAGGAAGTTAAGCAACTTGCCCAACCAAAGTCCCACAGTTTCTGGGATTTAAACCCAATCCTGACTCTAGAGCTTCTGAACTAGATCATCCAACTTCGGAAGCTCTGCCGGCTGCTCCAGGGAGGGGTCAGGGGCCCAGCCAGCCTCATCCCTCCCCCCACAGTGAGCCCTTCCCTGTGCTTGACAGGAGCCTGCCATATACACCAATCAGAGACCTTCTGCCCAGCCCCTGAGGCACAAGGGCCCTTAGAATGCAGCTGGTGGAGGACTCCCTCTTTCCAGGGCTGTGCAGTCTTAGGCAAGTCACTTAACCTTTCCTCTGGGCCTCCTTTCCTTATCTGTAGAATATAGCTTCAGCTGAGGCAACCAAGGGGCTACCATGGTCACTGAATCAGGAGTCATGATGTACAAAACCTACCCAGAGGAAAGTCTGCAGTGAGGCCCATTCAGGGACTTCTGCATCCTCAGTGAAAACCAAGGAGTGGGCCTCTGAACTCTGCATAGCCTCCCAGGTCCTAATCCTGTCCCTGGGGGTTGGAGGAGGTGGGGTGGTGGTTTGGGCAAGCCAATGAAGGATATGAATGTCATGGCTATAAACTGAAGTCTTCAGTTAAGGCCTCTGACATGCAGGAACTCAGCAAGGGCTACAGATAATGTCCTGGGACGTTATAGGGGCTGGGACAAGGATGGGGGTAAGGCAGAGGCTGAAGGAGTCCTTCTGGGGAGGCCAAACCCTCGGCGGGAGATGCGGCCCAAGCTGGGGCTCAGAGAGGCCTCCTTAGCTTCATGTGTCAGAGGAGCAGAGCTGGGGTCTGACTCCTCCGAGACCGGGCTGGGTGAAGGCCAGGCAGACAGGGTAGAGCTAGCAAGGACAGCTGCCACCTGGGCATGGGCTCATTAGCCCATGTCCCCAGGCCTGAAGCAGCGAGACCATCAGGGAAACTAGAGTCTGGGGTCAGAGGCCACAGCCACATTTATCCACTGAAGCCAGATGTATGACATGTGTCCTTGAACATTTTCTATGTGCCAGCAGCTTATACACCTCATCTCACTTAGTTTTCATGATGACCCTATAAGGTGGGTCCACAAGCCCCGTTTATTAGAGGAGCAAAGTGAGATACAGAGAATTATACACTTTGTTCAAAGTCACACAGCCAGGAAGTGACACAGCTGAGACTTAAACTCAGGTCAGCCCAAATCCAAAACCTTTGCTCCTGACCACATGCTACTCTGCCCCTGGAGAGGAGCGCGACCCCCGCGCCGTGAGTTACAAAGCCTGAGACCCGGAGGTGGGTGGTGGGGGGAACCCAAGCCTTGCTTCGGGAGGCGCTGGAGAACGCCTTGGGAGAGCAGCTCTGGGCAGGGGCCAGGCGTGGCAGGCAGGCCCAAGCTGTCCAGGAGCTGTCCAGGGAGCGGGAGCCAGGTCGGGCGGTCATGCGGAGCTGGAGATGGGCTGCCCTGCACCTCTGGCCCCAGGCCTGCTCCACTGTGGTGTCCAGTTACGGCCAGCTCGGCGCTTCCCCGGTCACGCCACATTTAGCAGTGCCGAGTGAGCGGGCGCCGGGACACGGAGCAGGGGCGGGGGAGACTCTTGAAGGGCGCGGGAGAGCCTCCCACCAGTCCTCCACCTGGACCCCAGCCACCAGCCCCTCCACCACTGATCCCCTGAGGGACTTTGGGCAAATACCGTCCCTTCCTTGTCCCCATTACTCCCCTGTCAAATGAAAGATACGGTTTATTTAACAAAGATGCACCAACCCCAGGCCGGGCACCATGGGACCCATGAGGCCATCCCGCCCTCCCAGAGCTCCTGGGAGAGCATGGCTCGGGAAAAGCAGTTCTTCTGCTCTGCTTGAGGGGGGCTTGAGTAGGAAGGGTAAGTGTAAACCTCGTGCTTTTCTGGTTGTCTGGCCGCCTCAGCTTATCCCATCCCACTCTGACCCTCACCAAATGAAACTGTAGCCTCCTACATGTAAATGAAAGTGCAGCCTCCGGAGTCAGACAGGTCTGCTTCGAATCCCGACTCTATCAAGGATTTGCTGTGTGATCTGTGCAAGTCACAGAACCCCTCTGATCCTGTTTCCTTGTCTGAAGAGTGGGCTTAATAATCTACCTTCCTCACAGGTTTGTTCTGACAAATCAATAAGAAAATTCTCCAAATTTTTGACATAATAGCCAGCCTTTACCAGAGACTACTTGGGCAAAGAGGAGTAAATTCAAAAGGAACTACCCTTTGCAGGTGGTGGAGAAGGAAGGCAGAGAGCTGAGGAAGATAATCGCAGTAAGAGGCATACTAATGATGATATTTATAACGAGAGCTGGCATTTATCGAACACTTACTATGTGCTTGACACCGTGCTAAATACTTTGTGAGCATGGTTTCACTTAATGCAGCATCCCCATGAGGGAGGCCCTGCCTCTCTCCCTGTTTTGTAGATGATGATGCTGAGGCTCAGAGAGCTTCACTGACACAGCTAGCAAGGAAAGGCAAAGGCTGGCTTTGAGCCGAGTCCTCCTGCCACTCGGCTGTGCTGGGGACAGAGTCCACCTATAATTCTAGAAGGTCTGAGCAGAAGGAGCCCTCAGATGTCATCTAGTACAAGCCCCTCATTTTTTGGATGGTAAAACAAAAGCTCAGAAGAGACAGTGACCTGCACAAAGTCACAGGTGTGGAGATGGAGTTTGGAGGACATAGGAGAAGACAGCCCATGCCAGACATTCCACAGTGGGCCAGTGGCAGCATCCCCGGGACTGTGCCAGACTCATGGGGGCATAGGCAACCAGGTCCCCACAAGTCCCCAGTTGCACACTGTGGTCGTGCCAGCCAGGCTGAGGCCCCGGAGGTGGGTACCGCGGGCCTGGCCTCTGCAGAGGGCTGGGTCACCTGCACTGTGAGGGTCACTGCCGCACCAGGCCTGGGCCTGACCCCTTCTCCAGCTCCCCCTCCTCTCAGGACCACCCACTTGCTCAGTCACTGAACAGAGACTGCTTGCCATGGTCACCTAGCCCAGTCTCTCATTGTGGAGACAGGAGACGGAGCCAAGGAGCCAGAGGCAGGGTCTCACTGGGAACCCCTCCTGGTTCACTACTCTGTAGCTGCAGAGCCTGAGAGCACTCCTGGGGAGTCTGGGGGGCTCCGAACTGGCTCATTTTCCTCTCTCCCCACCAGTCTTCTCTCTCTCTCTGTGCTTCTTGCTCTGTCTCTCACATTGTTTATCTGCTTCCTTTTGTTTCTGATATTTCTCTCAGTTTGTCTCTTTGTCTGTCTGTCTATCTGTCTGACTCTCTCTCTCTCTCATCAGAAGTCTGGCTGGAGTTGGGGTCCCAGACCAGGGATGGGGTGGGAGTGGAGGTGGTCGACTTTGGGTTGGTCACCCCTGGACTCTGGTCCTCGCTCTCATCACAGCTGGCTTTCTTCGAGGCCAGGACTGGGTGATGGTGTCACTGCTCCCGCCACAGTCTGACGTCACGCTGCCAGGCCCCGCCAGACTGGAGGGCGAGCCCCAAGGGGACCTCATGCAGGCACCGGGCCTCCCGGGCTCCCCTGCACCACAGAACGTAAGTACCTGGCACCCAGGCCTGGGCTGAGGCCTCCTGCGGTCTGCCTTGTCCCTTCCACCAGCAAACAAGTGTCCAATGACTCCAAGATCCAGAAATGTGCAGCTGTGGCCCCCTGCTTATCCACTTTTGTCTGGGGCTTTCCCAGCACAGGGCTGTAGATCCATCCTACTGGGGGCACCCCAGGTTTGGGAACAGTGTGCCCTCATCAGATTGGGGCTTCCAAGGGCAGACTATGTCTCCTCCATCATTTGGGGGCTCCCTAGACCTCAGCCACAAACTCCTTTACCCTAGCACAGAGTAGGGTTCTGGTCCAGCCTCCGCTTACAGGCTCTCTACTCTCTGTCCACCCCAGAAGCATGCCGGCTTCAGCTGCTCATCTTTTGTGCCTGATGACCCTCCAGAGAGGGCACCGTCACTGCCCCCCCACAGCCCCAGCATCGCGTCACCAGGCCCCGAGCAAGTCCACTGCCCAGCTGGCCCTGGCCCGGGCCCCTTCCGGCTCTCAACCTCAGACAAGTACCCTGGCTTTGGCTTTGAGGAGGGCCCAGCAGGCAGCCCTGGGCGCTTCCTCAAGGGCGGCCATGTGCCTTTTCACCCATACAAGCGGCATTTCCATGAGGACATCTTCCCCGAGGCCCAGACCGCCCTGGCCCTCGATGGACACTCCTTTAAGACCCCAGGGGCGCTGGAGGCCTTCGAGGAGATCCCAGTGGAAGTAGGGGAAGCTGAGGCCTTCCTGCCTGGCTTCTCAGCAGAGGCCTGGTGCAACGGGATCCCCTACCCCAGCCAGGAGCACAGCCCCCAAATCTTGGTGAGTACCCCCTACTCGCCACCTACCCTCGTCCCAGTTCCCAGCAGCCTACAACCAGTCCTCTGAGGTCAAACTCGCTGCCTTCCTTTCCAGACCTTTCCACTCAGGGTCAGTGTGCACAAGAGAAGCAACAAGCTCAGAGCATTGGAGTCTCTTGGCTTCATTCTGGGCCTCCAGGTCAGCTGGGGAGAGGATGCCGACCTGGCCCGGCCCGGCATGAAGGGGGCCAGGTGGGGAGGTCAGGTTAAGGAAGCTGGCAGCTTCCCAGAGGCTCCTGAGTCAGGATTCCAGTGTGTGACTTCTCTCTGATTGTTAAATATGAAGAATCCCCAGCCAGACCTATACGCCCATATGCAAATGTGAGAAGAAAAACACATTCCAGAGGCCAAGAGAAAGGGTTTAGGGAGGAGCCACATAACACAATATTCTCCTCTCTAGCATCAGCATACAGAGTTGAGAGAAGACTTAAGCCTCCTCATAGGACGTTCTGGCTCCCATTCTTTGCCCAGATTGGGGCCTGAGTGTATTCATAGGAATACCTTGAAAGCACCTTGGAATGTCAATGTGTCCTTCCACAGCCATACCCACAGAGCTGTGTGACCTTGGGCAAGTCACTTAACTTCTCTGAGCCTCATCTGAAAAGTATGGTTAACAGTACCTGCCTCATTGGCTTGTTGCCTTGGGAAGAGGAAAGCTAAAGGGAGCTTTGCTCCCCACTGCCCAGCTCTGATTTGGAGGTCCCTGAGGTAGTGAGCACTGAGTGGGCTCAGCCGGGGCTGCGCCTACTCCAGATGCCCACCAGCCCTCCTCACCTCCTGCTTTCAAACAGACTCCCATTCTGTCCCCAAGGTACCCCCAAGAAAGGCCTATTTCCCACGCTTAGAAGATAGAGATGGGGTTGTGCATCTACCAGGTGTGGCCAAGACCAGACCTAATTCTGGTTCTGGGGCCCTTTGATGGCCTCTCCTCAGGCCATCAAACCTGACAGCAGCTCACAGTGAGGGCACCATCATATCAGCTACTTCCCCCTAAATGTCCACTCAGTGCCAGCCCCTGGTCACTGTGCCAGATGCTTTCTTTTGAGTGCCCCATTTAATACTCATGACAACCCTCTAAAAGAGTTCCCACTATCCCCATATTGCAGATAAGGAGACCGAGGCTCCATAGAGCCAAATGACTTGCCCAAGGTGTCCCTCGGCCTGTAAGAAGTGAGGCTGAGACTTGAGCCCATGTCCTCACCCTCCCTCACAGTGGAGAAGAGCTCGGCCCCCGAGACCCACAGCTAGCTGGTCAACTCGCTGGGTGACCTTAGGCACATCTCTTCCCTGCTACGGGCTTAGCCCCATCATCTGCCAAATGAGGGTGTTGGACCCAGTGCTCTTGGCCCTTCCAGGCCTGAGATTCTATGATTATGGCAGTCTCTGCATCAGCAACCTCAGGGCACGCCCAGAAAGCACTCACAGCTGATCTGACCCCCTGGGCCCAGATGCTGGTGCCCAGGGCCCCTGGTGGTAACCCCAGGAAGAGTGGCCCGCCTCCTCCTGGCCTTGTACCCCTTCCAGGACCCAGCTGCATACCCTTCCTGTCCCTACTCATGGGAGAGCTCTGTGCTAGGCTCTGGGGGCTCCACGTGGGGCTCACGATCCACAGGAAGTCAGAGTCTGGTCACACCAGCTGCAGGTTCCCTGTGCCAGAGAGAGACAGTACCATGGACCTCACGCAGACCAGCATCTGAGTAAACTTCCTGGAGCCGGGAGCAAGGGCTCCGAGTTGCAGGTGGCCAGGAGACAGAGCAGAGAGCACTCACCAGCCCCCTCCAGAGAGCCTGCTGCAGTTTCCTTGGGCTTTGCAGAAGAGGAAGCGGCAGGCCCTGGGGGCCCCAGCTGGACTGACCTGTCTGGCCACTTCCCATGCTCCCCTCACCAGGCTCTGCAGTGGGAATTCTGGAGCTGCGGCCTTTCCCGGGTGTCCTTCGCAGACCTGCTCTGAGAGGCTGGGGGCTCTGAACCGGCAAGCAGGCTTGAGGAGTGGGGTCTGGCACTACACACTCGTGCATCCCCGGCCCTACCGCAGCCTCAGCGACTGACAAGTCTCCCTGACTTCTCTGGACAGCCAGCCTGAGTGTCTCACCTGCAGTGAGGGGGGGGTGGGGGTAGGGAGCATTTTTGGTTCCAGCCCCAGCTCCATCACTAGCTTGCTGAGTTCCCTCAGGAAAATCCCTGCCCTTCTCTGTTCTCTGTGTTCCAGGAATAAACTTTGAGGTAGGAAGAGTAGGGGTTGCTTTTGTGTAAGGTTCAAGATACTTAAGAGAGGAACGAAGAAAAATAAGGCCCAGACTGGTCATGTGCTTTTTCCTTCCAGCAGGGTTCGGAAGTCAAGGTCAAGCCCCCAGCTCTGGAGAGTGGTCCTGGCATGTACTGTTACCAGCCCCCCTTGCAGCACATGTACTGTCCCTCCCAACCCCCCTTCCACCAGGTGGGTCTGGGGCAGGTAGGCGTGCTTCCACGGGGTCTCAGGATATTATGTGGGTGTGCGGCGTGTCGGTGTGTATGTGAGTGTGTGTGTACACACCTGGCTGGGTAGATAAGGGCAGCAAGGCCTTGAACTGCAGGCTAAGCCATCCTGAGTAGGGGACAGCAGTTCATAGGGAGGGATGCAATTGCCCTTCTCTAGGGGTGGTCTGGCTTGTCTGAGACCCTGGCGGGGCCTGAGAAGTCTCAGAAAAAAGAGTGGGGTTAAGATTGGGGCAGGGCCCAGAGGTGAACCAGAAAAGGAGGGAGGAGGGAGCCAGACCAAGACAGAGGTAGAAAGGAAAGAAGTGTGTAGGGTGATCCATAAGGCCTACTGGGGCAGAGAATAATGGGCTCCCATCTGGGTCAGCCACCATCTTGCTACGTGGCCTTGGCCTCAAACCTCCCTTTAGCCTAGACAGGGTAGGACCAGGTGTGAGGTTAGGGGACCTTCCCACCTGGAGGCTCCAAGTTCCCATCATCTTTGGCCCTTTCCACCTTGCCCACACCACTGCCCAGCCTCAGCTCCTCCCAGATCTACAGGATGCCAAATAATTACCCCACACTGGCACGGATGGAGGTTTTTTTTAAAAGAGAAAGAAAAGAGCCCCAGAGCAGCCAGGCTGCTCCCAGGAGTCACCGGGCAAGATGGAGCAAGTGGCTGCCCAGCGCCCAGTTCCATCCACCTGCAGCCTGGCACTGAGACAGGCCCTGCCTGTGGAGCAGGTTCTACTCCCAGCTTTTTGGCATTGGTCCTGTCTTTGGCCAAACCAGGGAGGCAGGAAGGTGGCGGGTGAGGGGAGACGAGGGAAGGTCAGACTGCTTGCTTTGTTGGGGGGGGTGGGTGGAGAAAGAGATGGGGGGAAGCAGAGGGAACACATGAGGGGTCATCCTCACTGCTGTGAGGAGCCTGGCTGGAACGGCCAAAGCCACCCTGAGGCTCATGGTCTGACCCAGGGTAGAGGGTGTCCCTGAGGCAGCCTGGCCCATCAGGGACTGAGCTACAGCAGGGCTAAGGGGCTACCAGACCTTAAATGGCCTCATCATGCCCAGCCCTGCTTTCATGCCCTCTGCATTCCGCACCCCCTCCTCGAACAAGATGGCCGCACCCAGGGCTTTATGGAGCCTACAGAGAGGGTGACTCAGGCACTAAGTGCCTCTTGGGTGACCTGGAAAGAGCACTTCGGCCTAGAGCAGATGGGGGAGTCAGAGTCTCCTACCACCCCCCCTCCCTTGCCCCCATAAAACACCATCCCTGGCACCGCCGCCACTCCCTTTGCTGTAAAACCACCTCCCACCCCCACCTGCCCACCACCGTGACCAGCCTTTTCAAAGAGCCACTGAAACTCGTAAAAGGTGGCAGTGCCCAGCAAACGCCCAGGCTGGACATTCCACTTCCAGCCCCGCCGCTCCCAGAGATTCAAGGAAGGCCACGAGCGCCTGCCTGAAGGAGGGCAGGGGCCAGGGCTGCCCCCCACAATCTCTAGCCCAGCCAGGCTGCGTCCCAGAGTACCTTGAGGGCTTCAGAGGAAGGAGCTGCACGAAGGGAGCTTTGAGGCCTCTGAGATCCTGAATTCTGGAATGTGGATCTCCTCACAGGCCCTCAGATGTCCACATCCTTGGCCAGCTCCCTCAGATAGCTCTGCCATTGGAGCCCATGACTGTGGGTGGTGGAGCCCATGACCAGGGGAAAAATAATCTAGCCTCAGCTCCCCCTCTGGATGTCTGTGATGGGGGGAGGACCCCCTCCTTGGGAAGACTGGTTACCATGGCAACCACTCTGCCCCTTTGACCTCTACAGTACTCACCAGGTGGTGGCAGCTACCCTGTACCCTACCTGGGCTCCTCACACTATCCGTACCAGCGGATCGCACCCCAGGCCAGCACCGATGGGCACCAGCCTCTCTTCCCAAAACCCATCTACTCCTACAGGTACGTTTCCCAGCACCCCTGGCAGGGAAGGAAAGAGGGGTGAGAGGACTCCTGGGGAAACTGAGGCCTGGGATCCTTGAGGTATAAGGATGATGGCAGGGGGTAGAGGTCATACCCAGTGGGCTTCCAGAGAAGACCCCACTGGAGAGGGAATTCCTGCTTGGGGGCAGGGGGATAGACTAGGTCACCTCTGACCTCTTGTCTAAACCTGCGGAGCCATTTCTGCGGCTTGACTCTGCAGATCTGGTGCCCTGGGGTGAGCCCGCTGAGTTCTATGCTCCTGGGGCCCAGGGCCTGGGACTGAGAATTTAAGCGGGGTGCTCGCCCCCTTTCCCCTCCCTCCTCAGATGCAGAGAGAAGCCCCACCCCAAAGCTCTAGTGGAGATAAGTGAGGGATAAGGGCTGCGGATGCAGCTCAGTTATCCAGGATCTGCCAGATCCCGTGCGACTTCTCTGGGGCCAGGGTTGTAAGTGCCAGGCCAGCAGCACCCCGCCCACCCGGGAGGCCTTCCAACTGAACTTTAATTCATTCAACCAACAGAGACACTCGACCTCCTGTGTGCCAGGCCCCATGTGGGCCTGTGTGAGCTCAAGGGGAAGAAAAGGAGCTTAAACATCAGCCAAGAACACAGAGAAGTGGTTTGTGGGAGGCAGGATGATGTGCAGAAGGGACACACGCAATCCTTAGAGTCCAGCAGATTGTTCAAGTCCAGGCTCTGGAATTTACTAGCTGCGAAACCTCAGGCAAGTTACTTAATCTCTCTGAGCCTCTGTTTATTCATCTGTAAAAAGAAAAAAAGAACAGCAATATTCAGGCCTTTGGAAGGATTAAGTGAGAGAATATGCCTAGTACATTGCAGGACTCAAGAAATCTTGGTTGCCTCCCTTACCATCCAATATTCATGCAATTGGCTGAGGGCTGACTATTAATGACAGCTTCCATTTAATGTGCCAGGCATCATCCTTAATCCTCACAACTGTGAGGTACCTATTATTTTCTTCACTTCAAAGCTGAGGAAACTGAGGCTCAGAGAGGTTAAGGTACTCACCCAAGGTCACACAGCTAGTGAGTAGCTAAGCCAGGATTGCAACCCATGTCTCTCAGATTCCATAAGACCCTCCTTGTATATCTGTAATTCCTAGCTTCAGTGGATGCTTTCTCATCCCTTCTCCTTTCAACCTCATAGAGCCTCTCACCCATTAATTCTGCAGCAGCTTATTCCTCCTGGACAACTCTAGCCAGGGCAGGGCAGGTAGTGGGGGGACACTCTGGGCTTTGTCAGAAATTCAGACTCTCAGGGGCTTTCTCTGCCTTCAGCATCCTCATCTTCATGGCCCTTAAGAACAGTAAAACTGGGAGCCTTCCTGTCAGCGAGATCTACAATTTTATGACGGAGCACTTTCCCTACTTCAAGGTGAGCCCAAGATTCACCCCCACCCTGCTACCCCCAAGTCCTGGGCAAGCCAGGCCTCTCTGGAGTCAGAGGATTCAGCTGAGTGGTGGCAGAAGACTTAGAACAAGAGCCAGGAGAGGGTTTCCCCCAGCACTCTTCCCTTTGTCTCCACTGAAGGACAGAGTTCCGTGTGGGGAACAGAGAGCTCAAGGTCACACAGCAGGTTGGAGTCAGACCTTATGCTCGGGGAAGGTGGACATGTCAGTCTTGTTAGGTTTCGGGGAACATCTACCTACCCCGAGTAGGGAGAGAGAGCTTGGGAAGAAATGAGAGACTGTCCCCACCCCTTGCCCCAGGATGCTATAGGGCTGGAGGCATTTGGGTAGGAGCTGGCCGGCCCAGGTGACATGGGATGCTGGAGCCGCAGAGCCCACTGCCTTCCAGGGAGATCCTAGGATCTGCCTCTGTGGGTGGCGGGCTCACCGGCAGTTCTCCCAGAAAGTGGGTGTGGGCTTCACGGTCTTTGAGTGTCCCGGGGAACTGGCTGGCTCACCTGACCTTCCCCTGTACAGGATCTAGTTCCTGTCATCCACAGAAGGGGCTTCTGCGGGTTCTACTGGACTCCCTCCCTAGAGGCAGGACAGATGCCCTTCTTTCTAGATGGGCAAACACATCAGAGAGGGGGATCCTTCTGCTCTAGGTCATACAGCAAGTGGGAACAGTTTCTGACTCGAGCTGTTTGGCTTTATACACCACCCACTTCCCTTCTCTGCCTGCCTCCCAGACCCTCCAGCACAGACCCTTCCTCCTGGGATGGGTGCAGGGAGATCAGAGTTTGTGTGTGAGGAGTGCCCTCTCCAAGGCCTGCTCCAGGTGGATACAGTCTCGTCTGCTACTCAGACAGCGAGCCAGAGCTGAGACCCAAGTAATCCAGGACTCAGCTGCCCCTGCCAGTGGGTGATTCCTGGCTCCACTATCTTCCTTATGACCTGCCTGGGGATAATGTGAGGCTGATATCCACACAAGTTTGTACTTACTGAGCTGCCATCAGATGAGGAGTGGGCAAGATGGCCAGAGTGGTCCAGCCAGGAATGGAAAAGTATGGTCATCCACCACCAAAGGTTCTGGAAGGGAGAGGAGGGAGGATAGTTGTCTCTGGGATTCAAGAGGCATCAAAGCCAGTATCCAGGCTGCCCCTATATCCCAGCAGGTCAGGGGACCAAACTCTCCCTAACCCCTAAAGCTTTGGGAGGGTCCTCTAGGCACTTCAAGGGACCAGGCCAGAGAGAGGTTAGTGAGGGCTCTGCCATGCTCCTCTCGGCCCTTCCTCCTTGCCAGCTCCCCGCCCAGCCCCCAGTTCCTCCCTGCATCTCATCTTCCTGGCTTAATTATTTTTCCTGGGAGCTGTGTAATCCCTGTTTTATGGGGCTGAGGAGTGAAGAGGTCTAACAGCTTTTTTTTTTGGTTGTTGTTCTTAGCCAGTTGCATCACTCCCTCACTCCAAGTTTACATTTGACTTCAGAGAGAAAGCATCTGTGAGGGTGGGACGGGCCCCAGATGGTGACACCAGCCCTATGGGGTGACTTGGGCAGGGCCCTTAACTAAGGGACAGAGTTGGAGTCTGTGCTCTGTCACTGCCTTCCTGTGTGATCTAAGGCCAGGCTCTTTCTGCTCTGGACCTCAGCTTCCCAATCTGTAAGATGGTCAGGTTGGACCAGTTGGCACATAGATTCCTTCCAACTCCGGCAGTTCCCCTCTGACCCACCTAAGGAATTAGTTCAAAGATTCGCTGTCCCCTCTATCTCTCACTCCCCACCTGAAGGTCATTTTTCTGGGCAAGGACAGAATGGATCCTGAGGTGGGCAACACTCATGCCTGAGGCAGCTGAGGTGGGCGTCCTGTAGCCCCATGAGTCAGGGATGTGGGACTGGGGAAGTGTCCAGCCACTGGACATAATTGCTGGTGCTGACCATCACTCTTCCAAACAGGAAGTGGCTGGGGTGGGGGCTGCCCTGGCATCCCAAAGTCACAGTTTTATGGGGCCATAAAAGGTCCCAGTGCCCATTAACTCTGCCCATCCGGTGACATAGCCTTGACTCCTAGTAGGGACTGTCATGCGAGTTGAAGGTGAATCCCCAGCTGCCTGGTCTGGTGGCTCAAGGATCCTCCCTTGTGACCCTGGGAGCTTTGGGGGTCATATCAACCAGCTCCCTGCCCCAGGCCGGCTGCTCCTGAGAAAGGCTCCAGCAGCTCCTGCCAGCAACTTGCAGTGACGCTGGCATCAGGGGGTGATTCAGCCTGGCTGTTCCCTGGGGCAAGTGAGCTGGGGAGGAGGGAGTGGCCGCCCCTCATTAAGCAGAAACTGTGAGCTGAAAGGGAGAGGGGCCAAGGGGTGAGGGTGAAGGGGCCCCACCGGCCAGAGCAGGTGCCCACAGTCAGCCCCTGCTGGGCCCAGGACTGTCACGGAGCCTGGAACCGAGCTGAAGGTAGGGGGACGGGGCTGCCCACTGGCTCCCCAGCCACTGCCTCTCACCCAACTGAGTCAGCCTAATGGTTTTTACAACCCTCCCTGGGCACAATTATTGTACTGGTGGCATGACCGGGCCTCCTAATGGGTGTTTATTCTGTTGGCACGAGCACCCCCTGCCTGAGGGCTGGCCTCCCTACCTGTGCACTCCCCCCGGGTATACTCATGTGAACACTCACACCCACACATGCATACAATCATGGATACCCACATACACACCCAGAGAAACTTTCTCACACACACTTGTCCTCAGGGACGCATACACCCTCATACGCAGAGGGATTCACAGACCCAAACCCAAGAGACAAGCTCACACCAGGGAGCCACACTTACCAACACGTGCATGCTCATGCACATAGCTTCTCTCTCTCTCCCAGCAAAACCCAGATATATACATAAACATATGTGCAACATGAGCACACACCCAAACACTCACCAACCTCACCCGTCTTTCTTTTCTCCTGGGTTTGCCCCAGTAGGGATGAGGCAGACTCAGGAGAAGAGCATTCCATTGTTTCCCCTAATTCCCTCTCCAAAGCTGGCACCAGAGACCTCAGAGTAGTGAGCTCCCTTTCCACAGAGGGGTCCAAATACAGACCTGAAGACCCAGTGGGGAGTGGTCCAACTGCAGATGGGGGACAGGCCGGAGGCCTCTAGCACCTACCAGGCCTCCTTTTATGACTCCTCTTGACAATCCTATGGAGGGGCTGCAAGGGATGGTGGTAGGATAAAGGCAGATTCTAGGTGAAAATATCTGTAGTCACAGCTCCTGCCCTGCCCTTCCCCACCACTGAAGAGTGCCGAGCGTGGACTGGGGGCTGAGGAGGACAACAAGCCCCAGAGTGGGGGCAGTTCTGTGCCCAGAGGGCAAAGGAGTTTTCTGGAACCCAGACACAGAGCCGGGTCTGGCTGCCTGACCCCAGCCTGAGTTCTCCTCTTGCTCTGCTCCGGCAGACAGCACCCGACGGCTGGAAGAATTCTGTCCGCCACAACCTCTCTCTCAACAAGTGCTTCGAGAAGGTGGAGAACAAATCAGGAAGTTCCTCTCGCAAGGGCTGTCTGTGGGCCCTCAATCCAGCCAAGATCGACAAGATGCAGGAGGAGCTACAGAAGTGGAAGAGGAAAGACCCCATTGCTGTGCGCAAAAGCATGGCCAAGCCAGGTGAGGCTGATGGGCCATGCAAGGGGGGTGGAGCCCTGGGTACCCACGAGCCAAAAAAGAGAGAGAAAAGCTGAGCAAGGAGAGTTGATGAGTAAGATTTCAAGGCTTGGGGGGGGTTATGGGAAAGGGAGGTTTCATGGTGTCCTTCTCTCTTGGGCCTTTTCAGAAGAGCTGGACAGCCTCATTGGAGACAAGAGGGAGAAGCTGAGCTCCTCACTGCTGGGCTGCCCACCCCCTGGGCTGGCAGGCTCTGGCCCCATCCGGCCCCTGGGACCTCCAGTTGGGCTCTCCCAGCCGCTGCACTCAATCCACCCAGCTCCAGGCCCCATTCCTGGCAAGAACCCCCTGCAGGACCTACTTGGGGGGCATGCACCCTCCTGCTATGGGCAGACATATTCGCACCTCTCACCGGGCCTGGCCCCTCCCGGACCTCCGCAGCCATTGTTCCCGCAACCAGAGGGACACCTTGAGCTGCGGGCCCAGCCAGATGCCCCCCAGGACTCGCCTCTGCCAGCCCACACCCCACCCAGCCACAGTGCCAAGCTGCTGGCTGAGCCTTCCCCAGCCAGGACCATGCCTGACACCCTGCTGCCAGATGGAGACCTTGGGACTGACTTGGATGCCATCAACCCCTCTCTCACCGACTTTGACTTCCAGGGTAAGCTGAGCTTGGGAAAGGGGAGGTGGGACAGGACTGGAGAGGTATATCTGGCAGCGTGGCCCATCCCCTCCAAGTCTCCAGGCTACAGCCTGCTAGCTGCCAAGTTTCTGGTTAACTAAAGCAGAGAAGGCCCAAGCTGGCAGGGGTTGTCAAGAGGCAAAGAGAAATGTCCTTGCCCCCATCTCCCTCCTTCTGGTACCCCTGAACATGTTCCATCGGACCCTATCATCAAACCACTCTGAACTCTAGGTAGGCTGGAAAGGGCCCACTGTTCCATTCCATACTTACTTGGTTGTGAGTGACTGATAGTCTGAACATTCCCAGAAGTGGCTGCATTTTCTCAGAGTCCATCTTTTAATGCAAAGGGAGAGAAAGCTTCTCCCTTGAAGAATGTAAGGTCTCAGAACTAGGCAGGTCCTGGAGAGATTTAGGGATAGGAGTCTGGGGACAGGTTCCATCTGTTCCATTCCATCTGGCCTGCTCCATCTCTGCATGAGAGATGCCAAGCCACCCATTCCCATTTAAATTCCAGTGCACCCCAGGCCCTGGTACCAGCCACAGGAGGTTTGGAGGAAGGTGCAGACCCAGGCCTCAGACCCTCTGTATGAACCAGGGTAGGAGACATCCACAAGCTGGCGGAGGCAGCCGACTCTCAGAGAACTCCCAGTCTGATGGGGAGATAGCCCAGGTCTTGGGAAGCTATTGCTGGAAACATGCAGCTAGCTCCTCACTCCCATCCAGAAGTGGGGAGCAGGCTCAACAGCCTCAGAGGAAGCTATAGACATATGGGCATGGTAAACACATACTTGAGCCCCTACTAACTATCAGGCATCCTGTGAGTCGCTTTACATGTACTCTCTCATATGGGCCTATAGGACAGGAGGGATTATTAAACCCATTTCACAGAAACACAGGGGTTAAGTAACTTATTCTAGGGCACTTAGCTAGAAAGAAGGGGAGTTAGGATTGAAACCCAGGCAGCCAAGTTCAGTCCAGGGTTTAGTCTGCTCCCTTTGTCCAGACCCTGCAGCCTGATACAAGAGCCAGGAGTGCCAGGCTCTGGCCTGCCGTGATGCAGGACATACAACACAAAGAGGGGATCAGGTGGCAGCCCTATTTGCTCCCTGGGGTCAGTGTATTCTGGCTCTGCTCCTGTCCCTTGGGCCCTGCAGTAGAGAAATCCCATGGAACTGAGCCCGACCACCTCATTGGGTCCAGCAGTGCATTTTGGGAAGATCCTTGGTCTGGGCTGCAGACCCACCCTCCTGGGGAGCCTGGGCAGGAGCCAAGTGAAGAGCTCCTGGGGCTCCCTCCCCAGGCTAACCCCAGGGTGCACAGCATCTGCATCAACCCTTCCAATAGGCGCTCTCAAATCCTTGACTCTCTCCATCTCCTGAAAAACCAGCCACAGAGATCACCTGGGTTATAGCTTTCAGACCATCCTACACGGGAGGAGGAATTAGAGAGGTTTGGCAACTGCCTGGGATCACAGCTCGTGCCAAGGGTCTGACCCCATCAATGTTACCCCAGTGCTGCTCTCGTGAGCAGCTGGAGCCATGGGGTGGGGGGCAGCCATGGTTCCTTTTCTCCCTCCCAGTGATGCCTGTTCTCCCCACCACTTAGGAAACCTGTGGGAACAGCTGAAGGATGACAGCCTGGCCCTCGACCCCTTGGTACTGGTGACCTCATCCCCAACGTCATCTTCAATGCCACCACCCCCACCACCAGCCCTCTGCTTCCCCCCTGGATCCTGTCTGACAGAGACAGGCAGTGGGGCAGGCGATATGGCACCACCAGGCAGCGGGGGCTCCGGAGCACTGGGTGACCTGCACCTCACCACCCTCTACTCGGCCTTCATGGAGCTGGAGCCCACGCCCCCCACAGCCTCTGCTGGCCCCTCCGTGTACCTCAGCCCCAGCTCCAAGCCTGTGGCCCTAGCATGAGCTATGCCTGCAGCAGTCCGGCCTTTGCCTGGCCTGGAAGTCCCAGCTGGTCACCCACGTCGGGCTCACCTTAAAGGTCAAAGAAGGAAAACACTCCCTGTCCCCTATGCCACTAAGCCAACTTGTCAGCTGGCACCTGGAGGGGTAGAGGACACCGCCAAGGATGCTGCCCCTCACACATTCCTGCCATCTTGCAGGCCAGCTCCTCACTGAGAGCCACCGAAAAGAGCAAGTGTCTGAGCAAGAAGAAAACACACTCTCCTTTGCTCACACTTATCCACACTTAAGCCCTCATGAACACGTGCACGCACACACACACACACACAGTTATTCAGGCAGACACCCATCCACATACCTTATATCCCGAGGAATCAGAACTACATCACTAAGAGCTGGATTTCATTTCTGGGGCAGCTGAGAGCTGAGGGCTTTGGTTACCGAAAGCTCAGGGCCCCCATACCAGGTCCAGGGTCACCCTGGAACCCTATTCTGATGTCCATGTTCTCTGCAGCCCTCGCCCCCTCCACGGCATGATCTTTCCCAGAAGTCCCCTGTATTTATTCTCCCATCTTCCTCCCAGCAGCCCATCCAGGAGAAGGAGATATGGAGCCTCTCCCCTAAGTTGTCCGTGGGCCCCCCAGGGGGCTGCTAGTTAGCGGCACCTGCTCTGCCAGGCTCTACCCATCCTCAAACATACATTCTATCTGGCCTCCCCCAGGGTGACACACAGGAGGGGCAACATCCACCCCAGGACCAAACTGAGCCCAAGTCCGACACAAAGTGTTTGGAAAAGCCTTGCCCTCGGAAACTTGAAAGTGTCCTTTTCCAGCCCTGGGTACAGGAAGGGCCCCTCTGGGTCACTACCGTCTCACTCCTTCCCTATAAGAATTTCATGTAGTTTAGGTCCCAGCTTACTAATTACTTCTGTCTCAGGCAGCCTGGGCATTCAGGGAAGAGAAGCCTGGCACAGGCTGGTGGGGGAGCACCCAGGCCCCCTTTCTTCGATTGCTTGGCAGAGCCAGGATGCCCCCAGAGCTAGTGGGTGTGGCTCAGTTGCCCACCATGCCCTACCTGAGAGCCCAACTCCCACCAAGTGGGAGCCTCAGCCTACCCTGGGTCTGGGGGTGACAAGAGCCCCCAGAGGTTGGCCCAGGCTCAGATGAGGCACAAGGAGATCCCTCAATGGCCTGTCACTGTCACCTGTCCTGGAACAATAAAACAAGTGCTACCAAGACTTCCTTTCTGGACCTCCCTTCCCCGGGCAGAAAGGTCAAGCCACACTGACTATAGATGCCTTGGGCCTGTAATTTCACCTCACCTAGAAGTGTAAGGTTTCCATATCCAAAGAGTGAGGCATTTAGGACTTCCTGACCAGCCCAGGGAGGATGAGAGGGCAGGTGGGTGGGGCCTCTTCCCAGAACTTCCACAGGAATGTGAGGAAGCAGCTGTCCTACCCAGAGAAGGGAGAGGATGCTCTCCCTACACACTCCTTCCTTCTGAGATCCACCCTTTCCCTCCTTGACCCCTCATCTCCTCACACAAAAGGAGTCACTTCCTGTCTAAGCTGCACCTTCTTGCCCCCCATCTTTCCCTAGCTGAGGCTCTGGGTTCCACAGGTGACGTGAATGGAGCATAACCTGATGCTGTGTGCACTGCTGGCCCTGGAGGGTGGTTTCTGGAGGGTCAGGGGCCCACTTGGTCCCACTTCAGACTCACCTCCCAGGTACCACCTCCAGGCAGGCTGCTGTCACCAAAGGACAGCCTGAGAGGCAGCCCAACACTCTGCCTAAACAGGGACAGGCAGATGTAGGAGCCAAAATCACACACATGAACCTCAAGTCTTGGAAGAGCCACAGGTGGGGCCTCTGCTTAGAAAGTTCCTCCAGTGGCCAGACCTAGGGGCTGGCTAACACATCTATCTGCCCCAAAGGACAGCTCTGCTGAAGATCCCATAACTGAACCCAGCCTACATCAGAACCCTTCCTCCCAGAGCTCTAAGGCTGGATCCAGGGCTAGAAGGATAGGGTGGAGTCAGCAGTAGGGGAAGGCATGGCCAGCCAGAGCACCCAAGAGACAGACCCACCTGCCCCAGCCCAGCCCTGGCTGTACAGGAAGGAAGCAAAGGCAGTCAAGCCCCCAGGTGATGTTGCCCCCCAGCTCTGACCAACCCCAGGCCTGTGTCTTGATGCCCAAGCCCCCAAGGACAGGGCAAGTGTTTCACAGAACTTTACTAGGGTCCACGTCCTTGCCTCAGACCCTCAGACTCTGGGGGCTCAGACTAGGCAGTGGGCAGAGGACATCTCCAGAGGCCCTCAGTCAGACTTCTGTCCCATGGGCCCATTCAGCACAACGACAACCAAGCTGGCCCCCATGCAAGTAAGATAGGTGGCAAGCACTCAGGACTCTGGGTCTCATGTTTGTTTGTTTGTAACCAGACTGGTCCTTAGATTTAAAACTGTGGAAGCAACTTAGCCCCACATTCCTGCTGATATGCTGCCCCCTGCTGGCCATCCCATACCAAGTGTTCAGCCACCATCTTAGTGTGAGCAACAGTTTGAATGGATCCTGGGTCGGGAACTCCCCTATTTTGGGGAAATTAACCTTTTTGTTCAGGGGCTCTAAACCTGAGAGTTATAAAACTGGTTAGAATTCATAGGTCCATGAACTTGGATAAAGAAATTACACTTCATTTTCATTCATCTCTACCTCAAATTCAGCATTTCCCTTGATTATGAAATGTAAGCAACAAATCACAATAGCTTTAGCAGAATCTGTGCCTTTGTCATTAGGGAGAGAAATCACAGATTAGAGATCACAGATGTTTTCATATTACATTACAGAAACTGCAGAATAGATATAGATAACTCTGTCTATAGGATTACAATATATTTTATGTACATAAAAACCTTATTGTCCATAGGCTTCAGCAGACGATAGCAAAGTGGTCCATGACACACAAAACATAAAGGCCCCTAGTTGCCAGGTGGTGGGGAAGTAGAGGCTGGCTGTTAGGGGAGGGGCTGGGCTAGGGAGGAAGGCACTGGGGGCTTGAGACAATAGCACTTTGCCAACTAGAAGGGAAGCATCTCAATAATATCCAACAGGTTAAGCATTCCCAATATGCATCCTGCAGGCCAGCCCAGGTGGGCATGCGCAGCGCATCTCCCTGTAGTAGTTGAATTTTCCTGCTCAGCCCAGTGGTGGGGTCTTTATGACACCTGTGAGGAGTCAAAGCAAAAATATCTGGCCGACTTCAGAGACAGAATCTGAGGTCCAGATCTGGCAAGGTCGAGATGGACCTTCAAGGTCAATAGCTCATCATCATCAGAGCCAGGACTAGCCCCACCCCATCCTGTCTTCCTCCTCCTTCTACTGCCCAGGGATCCTCTAGGTTCCTAGGGAAAGTGCTAGGAACCAAACGCAGCAAGTTGTACCATTAGCAGCAGGACCGGTACTAGAGGCATGAAAACTTACAAGGAGGCAGGGGGCCAAGTCTTTTCCCAGCCGGGCCTCCTCCAGGTCCAAGGGAGACAGGCCTCTCTGGGTGAGTGCCAACCTAGTATCTGCCCCAGGGATGAGGACCTCAGAACAGGGACGTCCCTCCCTGTCTGAAGGTGGAAATGCAGCAGGCCCAATCCAGAATCTCAATCCGATTCAGGTTAGCAGGGACAGTGAAGACTGTTATGAGGGTGGTAGAAGGTGCTCTTCCTGACAACTAGGTAGGCCTAAAAGTCCCTCTTGCTCGCTATGCCTTCTCTGTAGACTTGTAAACCCATAAACAACATCTCCAACTGCAAATACTTGTATACCTACACAGTCTCATCGGCAAACCAACCCCCCGCTCCCACCCCATGCCCCTTCCTCACCTTCCTGACAACTAACACTTCCTGACCACTTGCTTCTTGCTGAAATTCTTCCTTCCCTTAGCTTCTAAGATAGTCTGCTCCCACCTCCCTGGCTGCTCCTCCCGTCTCCATCACTAGTTCTCTCCCTCTGCCATGCTCTCAAACACTTGCTGGCCTTCCCTAGGGTTACACACTCATTCAGTGGCCCTGAAGTGAGTGGTGTGGACTATCAGCATTGAGTGCTCCATTAACTGGAAGACATTTGGCATTCCTGCCTCCTGCTCCCTAGACACTAGTAGTGCCAGTTGGGGACCCCATAACAGCCACCATCACAGCTTCAGCAATCACCTTTGTGGTCAATGACCTCCAAGGATCACCATCTCCAGCCTTCATCCCCCTCCTGGTCTCAATGCCTGAATTTCCTGTCTCCCCCTGACCACCTCCTTCAGGACATATGCACCACACCACAGCAGGTCCCAGCCTGAGCTCATCATCTCCCGCTAGCCCCCACTCTGATCCAACTTGGGTTCCGAAGCCCGGTGACAGCACATCTATCCACCCCAACACTCAGGCCACAAACCAGGGATTCAGCCTTGATTCCTCCCGGTCCCCAACCCCCTTATCCAATCAGCCACCAAGCCTGGAGATTTTGCCTCTTAAAAATTTCAACTTCATCTATTTCTCCCCATTTCCATGGATATTGACCTAATTCATTTTCCCTTCACCTCTCACTCAAATTCCTACAACACTCTCCTCAGTGCCCCTCTGCTTCTAGTATGTTAGAGCATGGACTCTGGAGTCAGACTGCTTAGATTTGAATCCTGACACTGCCACTTAATAGCTGTGCAACGTTGGCAGGACAAGTTAACCTCTCTGGGCCTGCAATTTCTGTAAAATGAGCATAATAGTGCCTTCCTCAGAAATGATTGTGAACATTCTAAGGTAACACACGTAAAGCACCCAGCCCCGGGCCTGGCAATCAATACACGTTGGCTATTACTAGTCTCACTCTTTCCAATCCACCCTTCAATCAGCAGCCAGAGAGAATCTGATCAGGTCATTCCTGCCTAATCCTCCGTCTTCCTCAGAAGCTCCAACAGCTCAACTACAAGGCTCCACAGATTTGCTTTCCTTTCACAGTGTAAATATTCAATTTCTTGAATACATCTGATGAATCTCACCTCCAAACTTTTGCTTTATGCTGTTTCCCATGCCTAAACACTCGCTCCCCCATCTCTTCCCGTCAGTCGACCTGAGTTCTCAAGATCCTGCTACAACGCTGCCTCCTCCAAGAATCCTCCCAGAACCCTCTAAGCAGGAAGACTCACTCCCCTGCATGCCCAGCCCCTTATTCAGGGACAGGTATTTGTTCCCTGTGTCTCACTCATTCTAGAATTCCCAGAGTTCAGCCCAGGTCCTGGCCTCCAGCAAGGTCTCTGCAGGACCCAGCTGAATCCAGCACTTCTAGGCCTGAGGGTTAATTTAATTTCTCGGTCCAGAGAGGGCGGGCACCAGGCACATTCAAATTAGGGCCTGGATCAGTAGGGTGTGAGCTATCCACCTATCTCAGTTCTTGAATTTCCTCCACTAAGGGACTTAAGACCTCATCTGGGTCTGGGGTAGGGCTGGAGGTGTGTGTGGGGGGGTGTTATATGCTTGCTGGCCAGGCCAGGGGGCTCCCCAAGGCAGCTGAGGGCAAGGAGATGGCTCTAGGCTTACCTAAAGTCCTGTCCACCTTCTCTCCCTGAGGAGGACTTCTCTCTAAAAACACAACCTAGTGGCCTCTGGGGGTCAGGGAAGGCGAGGTAGAGAACAAGGGCGTCTCCTCTACACCTTCCCTCCCGCCCTAGAGTTGAAAGCCTGTGTCCCAGCCTCTGTTCTGCCAGCTGGCTACAACTTTGGGCCAAAGCTTCCCCTCTCAGGACCTGGGTCTCCTTCTTTATCAAAAGAAAAACCTTTTCCAGCTGCAACATGTACTAAATGCTGACTCTAGATGCTGAGTGCAGAGTCAGGGTGCAAAGGATTAGCGGACAGGAGGACTTAGGTGTCACATTATCGCCTGCCCCCCTCCCTCCCACACACACATGCTGGCCCAGAACCAGAGAACAGAAAAGGAGAAAGAGTTTATTGAAAACTATATACAGTTGGTCCAGCCCCACCTTAGGCTGCAATCTGGGCCAGTCCCTCTCACACCTCAAGCAGCATCTGAGCCCCAGATGGTAGAGGCTGGGGCCAGGGCCCAGACTCCCTTGGGAAGCTTGGCAGCCAGACCCCACTTTGGATCTTTATCTGTGAATTTAAAACTCTAAACAGCCTGTTGGTGGTGGGCAGGGGACAGGGAATGGGATCCTCCCTGCCCAGACCTAGTCAAAGCTGGATAGGGGAACATTATTCTAAAACTTGGGCCCAAGAGGCCCAGCTAGGATGGCCTAAAGTCCTGGCTGCTCCTCTCACAGGAGGCATTCCTGGACATGGAGACAAACAGCCCCCCTACCACCCTACCCCACGTGCCAGGTCCCATGGGCTTCACAGACTTGGTCTGGGGACATCAGGCACCCTCCCTCCCGACACTGACTCAGGGTCCAGGGCTCCTGGAGCATTCCTCAGGCAGGGACTGAGACTCCTGGGGTTGAGAGGTGAGTGTTGGGGAGGTCATGGCTGAGGGCCCAGAACCCTCCGGTGGCAGGGGTGGTTTGGGGGGTCAAGGCGTCCCACTGTAGGAATAGTCTGCTTTGTTGTGCATCACCAGCCGGTCATCCACGAAGTAGAAGCTGTCAGACTGTGTTTCGTAAGGGTGATGGATCATCTCGTTGACTGCAAGAGAGGCCCAGCCAGTTGGGGTAAAGGTCAGAAGCCTGAGCCAGGTCACTACAGGGGCTTCAGGACTGGGGGACCCAGACAAGCTGAACAACCTCAAGTTCCCCCAGTCTCTCTGAGCCTCAGTTTCCCCATAAGTGACACAGGAATGGTGGCCAGAGACAAAAGAGACCCAGAGTGGGAAGAAAGGGGATCAGACCCACAGGTACTCCCTCCCCACAACTTGGTCTCTAGTAGGAGATCCCCTCCCCCACCTCCCATGAGGCCCTGCCCACGCACTCAGCTCCTCAGAGAGAGGGGGGAAGTCATAGATGTGCTCGCAGGTGTTCTTGCTGCTGGGGATGCAGAAGCCAAAGTGGAAGTCAAAGCTTTTGAGTAGCTGGTTTCGAAAGTAGTGCCTCTCTATCATGCGGAAGTTGTTGACGGGCTTGTCTCCCACTGTGAACTCCACCCTGAGCAAGAGAAGGGGGTGGGGCTGAGCTAAGCCTTGAAGTCAGTCAGCCAAGCTCAAGACAAACTGCCCCAAAGAGAAGCTCAGTAAGAACTCAGGAGGGGCTCAATCTCACCCTCACCCTCACCCTCACCCTCACCTCCAGCCCTCACCCTCAGCCCGCAGCAGTAGCCCGGTGACTCACGTGGCTCCCACCTGCCTCAGGCGGAGGAAGGCAGGCGTGAACTGGTAGCGGACAAAACGCCCAGCATTTGGGTCCAGGTCCCGCCGGTTGATGGGCAACCGCTCTGTAATGCACCCCAGCCAGGGCTCAGTGGGCTTCTGGCTGGGACCCATGCCCACCCAGGGTTCCACCCCAGGGTCCCCATCTGTCTGAATTTTTAAACACTCCCCAGGAGATTTTGATGCACATGGAGGGTTCAGACCATTGGCCAAATGAATGGTCAGCCAGTCACCAATTTCAACTGAAATTCCCAGGGCCACAGGGAGCACAGAGGCCTGGGGCCTCTGGGACTGCAGTTCCCAGGGAGGCCTGCAGAGGGCAAGTTCGCAGGCATTGAAGGTAGGACTGTCCTCCCAAGATGTCCAACCCTAGAAACAGATGGGAAGGAGGCGGCCCAGCCCCAGGTAGAGGCCCCCTGCCTGGTGACACCTGGGAATGCTAGGGTCCAAGCCCCACCTCTGCTCTGGCTCTTCTGCAGCCTGAGGAGTCCCTGGGCAGCCCAATTCACAGCTCTCGCCCACCTCCCTCTGTCAATGGCCCACCCAGCCCACTCACCCGAGGCTGGAGGCTTCTTGATTTCAAAGAGGACAGTGCCTGAATCCATGTCCCGAATCTTGAACCTGACGAAGTCAATCTTGTAGATATTCTCCTCAGGGGAGCACAGGTAGTCTAGGGGAGACAGGTGGCTGAGCAAGGAAGGGGCCCACCCAGAAGCCCCTGCTGCCATCCCAGCTTTTGCGGAACCCTGGACTAGCTACCACTTTCTCTGATCCTCTAAGGTCACTGCCTTCCAGCAAGAAAGAACTGAGCCCCTGCCCTGGGGGAGCCCCCACAGTGTGGGGGAGACATAGCTCTGCCACTGGGATCCAATGGGGGATAAACAGCTCCATCCCAGTGGCCTCTGGGGTCAGGGAGGGGGAGGGCAGAGAAAGGTGGAGGACAAAGCCACCTCCCCGACATTTTCCCTCCCACCCTGGAGTTGAGGGCCCTTATTCCAGCCTTTGCTTTGCCAAGGCTAGCTCAGTGACTTTGAGCCAAACAGACCTCCAATCTGATGGGGAGCCCCAACATGAGATGGGAGATACAGCCCTGCCTTTGGGAACTTCGTTCCAAAGGGAGTGACACAGCTCTGCCTTGGGAGAGACACAGTCCTTCTCTGGAGAATACCCTACCCTCATCCCACAGCTGCCCCTGGCGCTATATCTAGGTGTCAGGCAAGGACTGTCCCTGACCTGGGTACTCTGGGGCAGGCGAACAATCCCTTCCCTGTTCCCACTCGGCCCCTCCCCTCCCCATAAGCAGCTTATACAAGCCCAGTTCCCTTAAGCAGCTTAGCCAAAGCTCTGCTGACTCAAGCCCGGAACCTAGAATATGGGGGGAGAGAGGGCCACTTTTGCTCCCATTCCCTGTTGATCTCCAAATGGGAGGAAGTCTTAGTGAATGGAGGGAACCCTCTCAATGGTCATCTACCCAGTCTTGACTCTGAACCACCCCTCAAAGAGAAGAGTACGGGCAAAGCCAGGAAGAGGGTGTGGCAGGTGCACACGGTGTACATTGGGGTAAAGGGAGTCCTCAGGCGCAAAAGAGGAACCAGGAACAGCGGCAGCCCCGCCTGAGGAAGCTCAGGAATACCAAGGCCTGGTCCAACCCTCAGTGCTCTTGCAGCAGCAACTGCAAGTGATCAGGGAGGCCCTGGCAACAAATAGGAAGGAGCAGAGAGGCAAAGTGGGGGCTCTGGTGCTATCAGCCTGCAAAGCATCACATCCTCCCTATAGAGGCCCGGAAATCACCCTCCAGGCCCCTGGGCCACCTCCATTTCCCCTGGGGCAGGAAGAGGAAGTGAATATAAAATCACTCTCTCTTCCCCAAGCCTGGGGCAGCTCCTTCCAGGAAGCCCTCCTGGTAGCCACCTGGCACCTTGGGGCCCAGCAGGGACTACACAGGGCTTAGGGAGGGGCCTGAGCCCTAGCCTGTCCACCACAGCCCACGGTGGCGAGAGACAAGGCGGAGGAATGGAAGTCAGCAGCCCCTACCTCACCCTCTACACCCCTTATTTTCACAGAAAATAAGCACTAGTCCAAAGATGTAGAAAACAGGCACAGGGCAGAGGGAGAGGAGGTAACAGAATTGGGAGGAGGATCCTCACTGCCCAACTCCCAGCTCTCAGTAAAGCCCTCTCTTCTTCCCCCATTCTCCAACTTTTGGAGTCTCTCTGGTTTGTAAACAACTTTTTGCAGTCTGACCTCAGTCTTTTCTATTGCAAACTCAACCTATCAACCTCTCTGACTTTAGAGGAAGTGAGGAACAAGGGCTAGGGGATGCCCATGGCTCAGGACACCACAGCCACTCCCTCTCTTCTGCCAGGAAAGCAAGGGACCTGGGACCCAGGGGCAGGCGAGACAAGGGGCAGAGTGGCAGAGGGTTCAGAACACAACTGCTCCCTTCCCCTCAGCCACAAATAGCTTCCTAAGCTGGATTCAGGGCCCAGTAATCCAGGAGTAGCAAACCTCAGATCTGTGTGATTAAGGTCAGAAGAGACCAGAGGGTGCCAGGGCGGAGGGCCTGGAACCCTGTTCTCAACTTCTACAGAGGAAAGAGCTCCCATGACACTCCTTCTTCTACACATCCTCCACAGGTGCCCCACCTCTAAGGGCTATGAATTTCCTCCAAATTAGCAGACACATGGTGGTTCATGGGTTGGAAGCCCCCATAGTTGCAAATAATCTAAAGTTACCTGCCTGACCTCCGGACATCCTATAAGTTCTGCCCCAGAGCTAACCTGAATCCTAAATAAATCCTGCTGTTGCCAATCACAGCCCAGTTGGCGCAAACATCAGAGTGGTCCAGGCCCCCTCCCTCTACCAACGCCTGCTTAGGCAAGGCAGCTCAGTTCTCTACGAGCTCAGCCAAGAATGGCTGTTGCCTGGCTCAGAGAGGAGGGAGAAGTTGGTCCGCCAGGGACCCAGATGCACAGGCCTAGACCTGCCATCATGGTCCCCTCCACAGCTTTGTCTGGCAGCCCTGGGCTCTGGTACTCCTGCAGCTCCAGAGCTCAAGTCCACTCCAGCACCTGCGCCCAACCCCAAAGACAGGCCCCAAGAGCTGCTCCCACAGAGGGAGCCAGGGCAGCGTTACTGATGAATGAGGCCGAGGTACAGGGCCACTGCCTCTCCAAAGCCTCCTGTTTTTTGAGGCTCAGCCACTGCCTCTGCCGCGAGCTTCTTAGCGCTGTTCCCTGCCTGTGGTGACCTTCCCCCCACCCCTGCCCTGAATGCCTAGTTGTCTGCCTCAGGGCAGCAGCCATGAGCAGTCCTGTGGGGCCCTCAGCACTATTGACAAAAGAGCCCTATTTACAGAGCAGCACAGCATGCCAGGCAGTGTGCAAAATCAGAGAATTTATTTTCACAGTAGCCCTGAGGTAGGTGTCATTATCCCCATTTTACAGATGAACATGCTCAGAGAATGAAATTACTTGCCCAAGGTCACAGACCCAACTACATGGCAAAGCTGGGACTCCAACCCAGGCAGTCCAACTCAGAAACTCAACCAGTAGAGACTAGCCTTCCCAGGAGAGGGCAGGCCCCAGTCCAGGCTAAGGGGGGCATTAACCCACTCCCTTGAGAGAGCCCAGGGCCAACTCACTGAAGCTTTCTGCTCAGGTCCTTTCCTGGGAAGGGGATGGCCTCAGATTTCCTGGGGAATCC